AATAGACTTTATCACACGCGCGCACACATGCGCACACAGCCCGTACAGTAAATCTTCTGCCAGTTATTCGCTTCGCTGCCATATGTAGAACTCTAAATGTCTCCGGAAAAGAAATCTTGACAGCACAAGAGCTTGTTATACCCGCCACCCTATGTCTTCCTTCTCCATCCCTTCCTCTCTCATTAAATTCAGCATTCTTTAACGGCATTTCTCTCATCTTTGTATATGCGTATGTGTGTCCACAAGCTAATCCATTAATTAGTTGCATGACTAACTCACCAACCTTGGGAGACATCAATCAAACACAAACACACATGCACATGTGGACAGACAAACACCCACAGGGATGAAAAATGAGAGGTGAAAAATGTATGTGGGAACACACAGATCAATTCGCAAGCTATTTACACATCTGCTTGAAAGAGACAGTGTGTGTGTGTGTGTTTTGCGCATTGTCCCGCAGTCATATTAAGTATTCCAAACAAACCATCTCAACCTCCTCCACAACCCCCCACCACCACACACACACACACACACACAGAGTTTCCCATAATGCTTCAGGGCAGGTGACCCCACGGAAGAATGGGTGGGGTGATTAATTTCACTCTCTCTCTTGTCACACCCTTTGAGAGAGCCTAACAGATGTGAACATAGATAGCCAGGATGCACTCACTTGTTGCGCATGGTAGCCCACCGATTCATAACATATGCACAATTACCTCGCTGACCTACATCTCGTTACCGAGGTAACATATTTTTCTGGGTTACCCTAGCTCATCCAAGACGTTGTTTATTTCATGGTGCTTATAAAACAGCTTCTTGTTGGCGACTCGCAAACATGACCTCAAAGAAATGTCAATGTGAGTGATTCCCTATAAGTAGTAAGTGTAAGCACCGGGAAACAAAGCCAACGGTGGTTACCGACTCTGAGCTGTCAGTTGTGCGACATACATATGCATCAGGTCAACTGCAGTGTCAAAACACCTTATCACAATGAGATCCAACAGGGTGACCTGGAGGAGTTCTGGGAGAAATCTGTGCTTGTGTGTATGTGGTGTAACGGCAGGTAAAGTGAGTCACTTTGAAGACAGGACATTTAATGAGGTGACAGGAAAATTACATGCATTATAAAGACCCCGCTCTAACAGAGATGGACGGGCGCTGACATACACGCACCCACGCTTGCACGCAAATGCGCACGGAGGAGTTTTTATGAACCTCGGGAGAGAATAAGACAATCAAGGTTTTTCAAATAACCTTTGTACACTAAATTTTTTTAACCTTTTTACTAAAATTGACAGATGATACAGTTTGACTGAAAGCGCTGGTCTGGTTATTTTGTGTGATTTTCCTGTGTGACAATAATGACCTTTAATGGTTTAAAAGGAACGCAACATGCAAATGGCAAAAAATGCACTTTTAAAGAAAAGAAAATAACAAAAAATCGCTTTGTAATTACTCAGGAAAGTGCATCTGCATCTTCGGTGACTGACTAAAATTATTTTGATGGAAAGATCAAAATTTCACAAGATTTCTTTCTTGTGGGTGAGTTATAAAAGCAAAAAGTGAATAATTTGTGTGTTTATGTCTGAGTGTGTCTCGCATATTTAAAACATTACGATGCAAATAAGTTCATAAGTTATGAGGATGAGTCACTTGAGCTTGTTGAGCACCTGAAAAGATTCTAATCTCGTGTTGTTTAAAAGAAAAGTACGAAGGGAATATTTTTAGCTGATCCAACCACCATCCTTCAGATCAGCTCTTTAAAACCCAAGCTACACCATTCCCTTTCACATTACCTTCAAAGCACCTCTCTGACAACACTGCCAAAACACACTCACACACACACACACACACACACACACACACACAGCATAAATGTAGTGAAATTATGATATTTAGTCCTTACTGATTAACCAACAGGAGAGAGAGAGTGATAGAGGTAAAGAAACACACACGGTCATGTCTGAGAGCGTTAAACCTTATTAATAGCTGTGGAGTTTGAGCTAAATAATGCACTTAGCCTTTCACAGTCACTTAATTTATGATGTGAAGTGCAACCCCCTTACCTGCCATATTTCAGTCTTTACACACACACACAAAATCACTCACTCATTCACTGAACCAACACTGTAAAAAAATTTCCTAATTTTACAGAAAATAACTAAATTTTTTACAGCATTTTTCTGTAATTTTAAATTATGTTTAAAACTATGTAAAATTACTAACAATATTTGTATTTTTTATACAGGAAAATTACTTTATTATTTATACAGTACATTTTACGAACATATTTTTCAAAATTACAAACAATATCTGTAAATTAACAACTTGACCATTATTTTAAGGATTATATCATTAATGACAAATTATAGTAATTCTAATTTTTTAATATGGGAAAATTGCCTTATTATTTATACAGTATTTTTTCTGTTGTCTTAAGTTACATACAAATTCATGTAAAATTACAAACAATATCTGTAAATTAACAACTTGACTATTATTTTAAGGATTATATCATTAATGACAAATTACAGTAATTCTAATTTTTTATACGGGAAAATTACTGTATTATTTATACAGTATTTTTCTGTTTTCTTAAATTACATACATATTCATGTAAAATTACAAACAATATCTGTAAATTAACAAATTGACTGTTATTTTAAGTATTATTCCATTAATGACAAATTACAGTAATTCTCATTTTTATAAAAAAAATTACTGTATTATTTATACAGTATTTTTTCTGTTTTCTTAAATTATGTACAAATTTACGTAAAATTACAAAAATAATCTGTAATTAAATAATGTAGCTCATTATATTAAAGATTTATGTCCATACTAACAATTTAATGTTCTTTTTTGTAATTTTAAAGTCAATCTTATTAGTTTTATATTTAGGTGTATTTTTACATTCAAACGCTGTAATTTTATATAGAATTGAAATAGAATATATATAGAATAGAAAATCAGCCATAAAATCCACAAATCATGTAACCGTGCAATAAAAAATATATTGCATTAAAAATATATATTTTTATAAAGAAAAAATCAACCAATAAAGAGTGAGTGTATAAAGTATCCAGTCAATAAGTGAAACGCAACAGTCAGACACGTGTAATCACAATAACTTATTGCAGAAATGTCAAAAAGCAGTACCACAGTAGTCCAAATGACGACGCGTTGTAGTCGCAGTCACAGTCCTCTCTGGTGGAATATAATAGTTTAGTGTGAGGAGCAGCGGCATGTCGCAATCTATGACGGAACTAGCGAGAGTCAATAAGCGTTTGATATCGCTGCCGTAAAACTTGTTGTAAAACTTCTTAACGGCAAATTTTGAAATTGTTACTATAGCTACAGAGGAAGGAGATATATATCGCGGAATGGTTTGAATTTGGATCTGTTCCTCACACAAAGCATCACACGTATAACGAAGATCTGAATAAAAATAAAATACTTTTATGATCATGTTATTTAATGCTTGTGCATGACAGCATATTAATACATTTATGTGCCCCATGGTAAACCAAATAAATATTGCATGATAATGGTTAAATGATCTCTCTCTCTCTCTCTCTCTCTCTCTCTCTATCTTTATGTAAGGATTCTAAGATTATTTGTTCTGAGAATAATATATAATAATATAAAATATAATAAAATGATAATTAAGTGCAGTTTATTGCAGTTGACTGATTTACTGATTTGCTTAATTTTGAAATATGTTTCATTCTGTTTTGACTTGCCATTTGAAAGATTACATTTAAACAATAGGCCTACTACACTTAATTAAAATTTCTGTGATCATTTAACCATTATCATGCAATATTTTATTTATCTTGTTTATCATGGGTTACATAATATGCTGTCAGATCACAAGTCTGATTTGGGCCACATAATCACTGGACTGATCTGGACCACACTCCTCCCACCAGCAATCGGCCCTCATATTGTTTGCTGTGATCCATGCTGTGCCATCGCCACACACGGCCCAGCTCTGGCTGAAAGGGTACCTGCCATTGCCGACAGGAGGCCAGCAGTTCCAGCTTGAGGCCACATTTGGGCCAAGATCGCTTGCTATGTGGGAAGGACAACAATGTTCATGATGGAACATTGCTCTTAGGGCCAACCTGTACATTGTCTTTACTTTTGAATAACTAAAAAACAGACTTTCACTTTCTATGGTGAGAAGAAGTTCAACATTTTCAGTTTACATTCTCATATCACAAATGCTATAAAGTCCTACTGCAGTCAATAGCTTGCAATATCTATGCTATTAAATAAAAGTATGTAGACACATTTTGTAACTTGCATGCAATTATGGCATTATTTTTAAATAAGTGTTATGGTGGACAGAGGATTAACCAACAGGCTGTGTAACACTTCGAGTAATTTCGTTCATTTTAGCAAAATATTATTAAAATGTTACGTGTTACTTCTCGAACACATCTACTACTTACGCAAACGTTGATCACATTACAAACAATACATAACTGCTGTAAGAAACAGAAAAGATTAATTAATTGTTTACCTGGGTCTTCAGTCTATGATTAGCTCACCTCACCTCTTATCTGACAAGTCTTCGGGTTTGGGCTTATGGGGCTGTCACGTGATGAATGAACGACTCAAACCCGAAGACTCGAGAGCTGAACGCTCCGGTTACTATTGTAACCTCGGTTCCCTGAGAGCGGGAATGAGACATCACGGAGATATTTCTCCGTTATGGGAACTCCCTCCCTTCCAACCTTTCCTGAAGTCCTATTGGCTCCCGCCAGTCTAAATGACTGGCCAATTGACGCGAAGTATGCAAATCGCATGCAAATACTGACGAGCTCGAGAGGCAGTATAAAATGCGGTGCACGCGACAATTATGTCAGAATCTGATACTGAACGCAGCTTAGCTGATCGAGCAGCGAACACGGCGAACACGGCGAAATATCTCTGTGATGTCTCGTTCCCGCTCTCAGGGAACCGAGATTACGATAGTAACCGGAGCATTCCCTCTCGAGCTTTCACAAGACATCACGGAGATATTTCTCCATTATGGGAACGATATTCAATCCCGCCGTGAGAGAGGCTACGAGCAGCCTGTTCAAGTTACACACTCAGCGAAGATAGAACACACACAATTCCCAACCAATAGTGATGCTTGTTAGGCGGGCTTGCAGCTGATAGGTGGAGATAAGCTAATGAACGTCTAAAGCCCAGGCATACGAAATTTGCATATCTGGTCATTAATAACGTTGGCTGTGCTAAGAACAGGGCAGAAGCAACAACATTACTGTCAGGGGCTGCACAGAGATATAACGGTGTTAAACAACATAACACATAACATGATAATCGAGGCAGCAACACACGAATAGAGGTAGCATAAACGTGAATCAGTCACTCACCGACAGCACTCGGGAGGCTAAGGACTGAACGTCCAGCTTGTAAAACCTGGCGAAGGTATTCTGGGAAGACCAGCCGGCTGCAAAGCATATATCTTGAATAGACATACCTCTCGACCATGCCCAGGAGGAGGCAATAGCTCTTGTTGAGTGGGCCCTAATGTGAAAGGGGCATTCCAAATCTTGGCTCGTATAAGCAGCCGTGATAGCGTCCACAATCCAGTGGTAAAGTCTCTGTTTTGACACGGCCCGACCCTTCGCACAACCACCGTAGCACACGAAAAGCTGGTCAGATTGCCGAAAGTTGGCCGAACGGTCAATGTAAATCCTCAAGGCCCTGACGGGGCACACCGAAGTCTGAGCGTCCGCATCACGCGAGGTCGATGACTCAGAAGACAGGGCAGACAGCGAAACAGTCTGCGCTCTGAAGGACATTTTAGAGCATACAAACGCCTCGTGGAGGGCGCCCATGCCTCCGAAAGTGTGTCGAGAACACGGGAATGCAGGACGCTCAGCTCCTCTGATATCCCCGAAGCAGCCACACATGAAGGCTCCATAACTCCGGGTTCGGGTGCCACACCGAGCCGCTCGCTTGAGACAGCAGATCCTTCCTGATGGGGATCGGCCAGGGCGGCGCCACCAGCAACTCTGTCAAGTCCGGGAACCAAGGCTGGTTCGGCCAGTTCGGGGCGATGAGTATCACCGAAGCCCCCTCCTCCCTGATCTTGCATAACACCAGTGGCAATATCTTGATTGGAGGAAACGTATACAGCCTGGCTGCTGGCCAGTGCGATGTCAGAGCGTCCCCTTCCTGCTTCGATGCAGCCGAGGGAGACCGCGATGTGCAAACGGCCCAAAGTCCACACCGTCCAAGGGACTCGAGATTTCAACCATAATTGCAGGGGGCGCATGTGTAGTAAGCCCAGATGACATACTGCTGCAGCAGACATGACCACAGCCCCGAAGCCGGCATGCCCTCCCACACCCCTCCCCAGCCGCGAGTCGATGCGTCCGTCGTGACCACAATGCGCGACATCACCAAGCCCAGGGGAACCCCCCGGCTGAAGAGATCTGGGTTGCGCCACGGCCTCAGTGCTTCGATGCAGCCGAGGGAGACCGCGATGTGCAAACGGCCCAAAGTCCACACCGTCCAAGGGACTCGAGATTTCAACCATAATTGCAGGGGGCGCATGTGTAGTAAGCCCAGATGACATACTGCTGCAGCAGACACCATGAGCCCCAGCAGCCTCTGAAATTCCTTCAAGTGAACAGAGCTGCCCAGTCTGAAATGGCGCAGGGAAGACAAAATGGCCACCGAGCGCTCCCGAGAGAGGCAGGCTCTCATCTCCACCGAGTCGAAGCACACTCCCAGATATGTTATAGACTGACTCGGGGCGAGAATGCTCTTCTGCATGTTGACACATAGCCCTAGGGACTCCAAGTGACGAAGCAGCGTGTTTATATGGCTGACTAGCGTGTCCCGGGACTGAGCTAAAATCAGCCAATAATCCAGATAGTTGAGAACGCGCATCCCGCTCGCTCTGAGGGGGGAAAGTGCTGCATCCATGCACTTCGAGAAAGTGTGCGGGGCCAAAGCCAGCCCGAAAGGGAGAACAGAGTATTGGTACACTGTGCCCTCGAAAGCAAACCTCAGAAAGCATCTGTGATGCGGTGCTATCTGAATGTGAAAGTACGCGTCCTTTAAATCCACGGACGCAAACCAGTCCCTGGGGCGAATTTGCGGCAAGATTTGTTTCAGTGTTATCATCCTGAACGGACGCTTGCAAAGCGCTCTGTTGATGGGCCTGAGATCTAGAATCACCGAGTAGCCAGCGCGAGATTCCCGGAATAACTTCCCACGCGCTCAGAAACTGACATAGTGGCTTTAGCGGCTTGGTCGTTGGATGCGCCGGCGAGTGTGTGGGCGCACTCTCCTCCTCTTTTCAGACCGTCAGGATGATGGCTTAGCCGCCGGCGGCGGGCGAGAGTCACGTCGCGGGCTCCTCCGTTGGCCGTGGCGTTGCCTCCAAGGACCCCACGGCTTCCTCCGGAAATCCGGCTCCTGGCGTGGAGCAGTAACGTTAGCCGTCACCGCTGTGGTCGCTGGCCTGGGGTTATCCCTCCGCTGGGAAGAGCCAGGTGCCGACGAGGATCTGGATCTCGCCGTCTGCTGCTGGAAAGCGCGCCTCGGCATTACGTGACTCATGGCTTTGGTGCGCTTTTGAGCCTCCGCGAAGCGCTCAGGAAAAAATGGCCTGTGTGGCAGAGTGGACGCGCGCTGATTGGGTCGCAGACCATGTTTTCACCAGCTGCTCATGCACATCGGGGAAAAAGGGGACCGACGTCCTCGAGTCAGCTTTCCGGGTGGGCCTGAAATACCAGGAGTCAAGTGTACTCCTGACAGGCTCCTCTGGAGGACTCCAGGTAAGCTCCAACTCCTGGACAGCCCTTGACAGAACCCTCATGAGCTCCTCCTGGAGGTCTGGGGGCCCCATGCTGTCCGGCTGATCGGACTCCGATCCCGCCCAATCCTCCCTCTCCGGAGCGACAAGATGACGCTCCCGTCACCGGGAGGGCCCACCAGCAGCACGCTGGCGGCAGTGGGCCTCATCCCGAATAGGCTGCGAGCCACATCGCGGCGGGTCCGGAGCACGCGGGCCGGAAGGTCCACGCAATGCCCGCAGTTGGACTCGTCCAGCGCCGCCTCAGCGTGGGCCAGGCCCAGGCAGGCGACGCAGTAGTCGTGCTGATCCGGCGGCTCTATCGGTCCCGCGCATATCTTGCAGATTGTTGCCATAGTGAATTCAACAGGTGAAGTAGAAGATTCTGACGTAATTGTGGTGTGCGCTGCATTTTATGCTGCCTCTCGAGCTCGTCAGTATTTGCATGCGATTTGCATACTTCGCATCAATTGGCCAGTCATTTAGACTGGCTGGAGCCAATAGGACTTCAGGAAAGGTTGGAAGGGAAGGAGTTCCCATAATGGAGAAATATCTCCATGATGTCTCGTGAAAGCTTGAGAGGGAACTAATCAATTCTCTTTCCGGCTCAGACTGCATTGGTTAAGCTTATGGGGCTGTCACGTGATGAACGAACGACTCGGAAAAACCCGAAGACTCGAACCAGGTGAACTACTTGACTAATTCCAGTACAGAACCTATAGGATGTTGCGCATGCGCGACTGAACGAATCACTCCTCAAGACGACTCGTTCTTCCCGAGTCACATTAAAGATTCGTTCAAAATTAAAGAATCGTTCAAGAACGACCCAACACTACCGCTGATCGGCTTCTGCAGTCTGCTTCTGTCTGTCCTCTAGTAATGGCTTTTACATGGATTATTTTACGTCTGACTTTTTAATTCATATTTTGAGCAAGTTTGGGTTGTGGGATGATGACTGAGAACAAATAAACGTGTATATGGACACAGACTTCTACCACCAGCTAACAGACATGCAAGCTGCAAAAGGTAAGTAAGTGTTCTATAGTTACATCAAGATAAAGTGCATTGAAGTGAGATGCTAATCGCGATTAACGTTACATATCTTAATGTCCTACCAGTGTGTGTTACTGTGTTTTGTTAGTATGAGCTAATACTGTTAGCTGCGGCTGGGTGATATATGACCATGTCGTGGCGATGATATGAAGCGCAATATATAAACTCATAGCACAGTACTACTTAAAGTTATTGACACTTTGATAAAGAAACGTGCATGAATGAGGAATAAATAGCAGGATGCACGTGGTGATTAAATGAGTGAAGAACAATAGACACAGAAAGCCTCACGTGAATGGTCAAAATACAGACAGTCACCTCAAAATTCACTTGACTTAAAAACAGTCGCTAATGTTTGGAGTCAAGATTAACATTTAGGTGGAAATCCGGTGACGTGTCAGTATACTGGATCTGTGCATTTTGTTCTTAAAGTGACAGCAGTATAATTATTGCAAGCCCATGTCTCTGTCAGTAAGTAGATAGTGTTTTATTAAACAAATTTATATTAATTTGTTTGTGTGTGTGCTTCCCCCTCGTGATCCAGAAGTTTTGGGAATGAAAATCTTCTACTACATGATCTTCAGAGGAAGTTAGTATTCATGTCTAACATTAAGACATACTAACATTAATTTATTTTTAATGTTCACAGTATTTTTCTTCCATGCTTTTAGTTTGTTTAAATCCCAGATAAAACATGTGTCTTCTCACAATCCTTTTTTCTTTTTTTTACTCCCAGCTGATCCAGCTGATTACTGGCAATTTGGAGGAGGACTGCTCTTTATCTGCTGTGTCTGTCACTTCTGGAGCAGTGTCATGGACCTTTTGTTGTATGTTTTGGTTTTACTTATTATTACATGTAGCGTCTGCGTAGGATCATGCTGGAGTGTTGGACTGTTTATGGCTTAAAAGACCCTTTTAGCCGTCTGACAGCTGCCAGTGCTGCACACAGAGATCTGATCTGATCATCATCCAGACTGTCTGAGATTACATGAAGAAACAGAACAAACTGAGACAGACTAAATACAGAAGAATTGTGGCAATGTCTCCAAGCTGCTTCAAGAAACCTACCTGCAAAGCTACAGTACTGTTAAAAGTTTTAGGCACTTGTGTAAAAATTCTGTAAAATGGGGATGCTGTGAAAAATAATGTCATAAATAAATATTCCTTATCAATTAACTTCTGTTAACTAAATTAAATCAACATTTGGTGTGACCATCCTTTGCGTTTAAAGCAGCTTTTGCCCTCGGTGCACCTGCGCATAGTTTTTCAGGTAGCTTTGCAGGTAGGTCTCTTAAAGCATCTTGGAGACGTTGCCAAAGTTCTTCTGGATTGAGTCTCAGTTTGTTCTGTTTCTTCATGTCATTCCAGACAGACTGGATGATGATCAGATCAGGGTCCGTAATCACAAAACATCTTAAGGCTAAAAGTAACTCATAACTCGCAGATTTAGGAGAAAATATAATATATACAGACATGAAAAATATATCTATAGAGAGTGAAATTTTTAAATGAACCAATTCAAATAGAAAACGAATATTCTCAGATTATGTAATCCGTATGAAACATGCAGGCACATACTGCGGAGATGACGAGTCAGTGTCACCGACTTCATCTTTTAAACCGAAAACAAAAAGCAATAGTGTAACAATAATTTATTAAAACGTTAATGCAGTGTACTTGCTGTTTTTCCCTAACACATTCATAATTATTATATTTGCCGGTGTGCTGTGGCTAGGGATGTAACGGTATGAAAATTTCATATCACGATTATAGTGACCAAAGTTATCACGGTTATCGATATTATCACGGTTTTGTTCAAATGAGATTAAAATGTTCAAAAAGAACTAACAAACACACTGAAAACATTTCAATAAGTTTTATATTTGAAAATCAACAAACAACAAACACAATTAGCAGCTGTATGCACTTTTTTTAGCATAAACATTAAATTAACATTAACATGAAGCCCTAACTTTCTTCGCGGAAGCTTTGAGTTAAACAAGTGAGATAACGAAATATTTAATCTCTAATCAATATTTTTTGTCCAATTATTTGCCCAATTAGTTTTGGTATCGAGGTAAAAGTTACCTTGCATTCGCTTTGGACTCTTGTAAAAGCCAGTTTTCAAAATCGCAATAATCAAACACGGTTTTGATGATAATTAAATTTTAAACGATAATACTAACCGTCAGGGCATTTTATCATGATTTATCGTAAAACCGGTAATCGTTACATCCCTAGCTGTGGCAAGCCTTTATTGCGTGCGCTTATTAGGCTATGTAGGCAATTAAAGGCTCATTATTATGATTTATATGGTTTATTAATAAAAGTGTGACTAATAGTCGACTAATGCTTAAAATGAACGACTACTAGTCGACCAGAAAAATCTTTAGTTGAGGGCAGCCCTAATGCATATTGACTAATTGTTTACGAGAAGCATAAGAGGCTGACAATTAGATGAATATATAGCCTACTTGTTTAATTAGTGACACATAGCCTGCATTTTAAAATCTTTATTTGAATGTGACAATTAAAATTTTTATTTGAATATGGCAACATAATATTGCGCTCTACAATATTTCTATGAATAAATCTCTGACAGAGATTATCAGCCAATCACTGTGTGCATAGGTAGTAAGTATGCTGACATCATCCATAGCAACAAGGTAAACCCTAATCTTAGTTTAAGGCTTCTGTCTATTCCTTAGTAAAAGTTTGTTTCAGCAGCTTTGTGAATAGGTTTTAAGAGAAAACTCTTAGCTAAAAACTTTTACTGCTATCTTAGTGGTAAGAACATGTTTTGTGAATATGGGCCTAGATCTCTGTGTGCTCCACTGGCTGTTGTCAGACTCCTTGTGCAAACAAAAATCTCACTGGATTATTACAATTAATGGCAAAATGAAGAGTACATTATCAGGAAATATTAATTCTGGAAGTGAAAGGGTTAGTTCACCCAAAAATGAAAATTAGCCTGTGTTTTACTCACCCTAAAAGCATCCTAGGTGTATGTGACTTTCTTCTTTCAGACGAATCCAGTCGGAGTTATATTAAAAATCGTCCTGGCCCCTCCAAGCCTTTCAATGGGGGTAAGTGGGTGTTCAGAACAGTTCAGAAGATGTGAAATAAAGTGCGTGCATCCGTAATAAAAACGTCCCTCACACGGCTCCGGGGGTGAATAAAAGCCTCCTGTAGTGAATCCATGCGTTTTTGTAAGATAAATCCATATTTCAAAAGTAATAAACACTTTTTTCTCACTTCCGCTGACTATGGTATGCGGAAGACGTTCAGGCGGATGATGTGTAAGACGTATGTGTCGTGCACGCCTCTGAGAAATGCAGGAGCAAAGGAAACTTACTTCCTTACTTCAGCAAAGGAAAACCAGTGTCCTCTTGGCTTATATCGAAATCATCTGACATTTTTCTTTACAAATCCTCGTTTTTTGCTTCTAATTTGTGAACGGCGTTTTGTTTTGTCTCCGTGTTCATCACTAATCACGCAATGTCGATGTCTTACGTCATCCGCCGGAACGGCTTCCGCGTATGACAGTCAGCGGAAGTGAGAAAAATTGTTTATTACATTTGAAATATGGATATTTATCTTACAAAAATGCATGGATTCGCTACAGGAGGCCTTTAAGCACCCCCCGGAGCCGTGTGAGGGACGTTGCACTTTATTTCATGTCTTCTGAACTGTTGACAGCCAACACCCGCTTACCCTCATTGAAAGGCTTGGAGGGGCCAGGACAATTTTTAATATAACTCCGATTGGATTCGTCTGAAAGAAGAAAGTCATACACCTAGGATGCTTTGAGGGTGAGTAAAACACAGGCTAATTTTTTTTTTGGGTGAACTAACTCTTGAACTTGTCCTTTAAGTTGAATATATTTAATTCAACATTTTGATGAAACTGTTGTTCTTCATCAGTACAGTATTTTAAATGTAATTATGCTGTATTTCTTAAAAAACTGAAATGTAAAATTTTACATTTTATGTGGCATTTGTATAGACTTTGTATTTTGTCCTCCAAATAAAACTGGTAATTTTCCATCTTGAGCATGCTTTGACACTTTATTGAAGGCATTTGATTGTAATGATTTGTAAAATAACAGTGTTTCTTTGTAGAACATTTAGTGCTTTCATTGTAATAATCAAGGAAAAATCTGTAAAATAAGGGTTTTACACTGTAAAAAAAACTGTCAAATGACTGGCAGCTATGGCTGCCAAACAAAAAACTTAAAATTTAAGTAAATTATCGTAATTGAAACCAGAAAAAATCTGTAAAATAAGGGTTTTACACTGTAAAAAAAGTCCCGTAAAAAAATGGTAAATGACTGGCAGCTATGGCTGCCAAACAAAAACCATAAAAATGAAAGTAAAATATCATAATTGAAATCAGGAAAAATCTTTATTTCAATTAAGATATTTTACTTTAGTTTTACGGGTTTTGCTTGGCAGCCGTAGCTGCCAGTCATTTACAAAAAAATGTTTACGATTTTTTTTTTCAGTGAATGTACATTTAAAAATAACCCTAAGTAATGGATAATAAATTATTTATTATGGCACACACTCATAATCTACACAAATAAACTCACTGTGTGTAATGCAGTTTTATTTGTAAAATAACAGATTTTTACACTTTATTTCAATTAAGATATTTTACTTTAGTTTTACGGGGTTTGCTTGGCAGCCGTAGCTGCCAGTCATTTACAAAAAAAATTTTACGATTTTTTTTTTCAGTGAATGTACATTTAAAAATAACCCTAAGTAATGGATAATAAATTATTTATTATGGCACACACTCATAATCTACACAAATAAACTCACTGTGTGTAATGCAGTTTTATTTACTAATTAAACTGTGATCTTGCTAATATTACAGTTTTTCTGAATTGCTAAAACACATTTCTTGAAACCATCACTCATTTAAGTATAGTAATGGCAACTGAGTAAGGTGAATATATTGTATAGGCCTACTGTATGTACTGCAAGAATAGTATTGTGCTGAATACTGAATAGTACTGAATTTTTGTATATATTCAGCACTTGGATACTGCAAAAATGCTGCAGTCCAACTGAAAAGGCCAAAAAGGTTGAATACTGTAAAACTCTAAATAAATAGCATGTTACAGTACACTCAAATGTACACTCAAATACTGTAAGTTGTGTACTTGTAAAATCAGGGTCAATGAGAGATTCATTCTGTCTCAGCATCATGTTTTTGTGCTTGAGTCCGACCTAAGAACTTTTTTTCCACATCACAAGTAAAGTTGTCTTTTTTGCTAGACAAAGAGAAAAAAACCTTGATAACACTCTCTAAACCTTACTCTTTCTCATTCTCTTCCTCCTCATCCTCCACTTCTTACATGTACTCTTCCTCCTCTCCTTCTCAGATTGTTTCCATCTATTGTTCGTATCATCATTGTCACCTGTGCCACTTGTGCACTCTGTCTGAACTGGCTCATATTTTGTACAGTTGGTTTGATCACATCATTAGAAACAAGTGTGAACAATTTTGAATCGTTGTGTGTAAACGATGACAACTGTGCTTTAGTTGTGTTTAACTTTTGCTGCGTGTGTTTAGCATTTTGCAGCACGAATGCATCACAGTGTGATAAGTGTTTAAGTGAATGAGAATGTGTTTAGAGTTTTGCAAAAAAGAGTGCATGAGATTTGCAAATAGAGCCTAACTGCCTGAGCGTGTTAAAGGTTTAGCAGAAAGAGTGCTTTATTCGACAAATTGGTTTAAGATAGTGAGAATTTGGTTCAGAGATTGGGGTTTAGTGTTTTAGCCATTCAGAAAAACTGTATTACAACAATAAATGTAATAAGTAATACAGTTAATAAAATGTATGATGTGAAGTGCAACTGTCAGAATTTTTTTTTAAATTAAATATGAATACTGTCTTACTTCGTTAATCTTTAGGAAATAGTTTTTGCAGGCTGACACAGCTCATTTAAGGATATACACCAACATGTCCATTATCAGTGACAAAAGACTATTATCAATGATAGGTAGGTAGGTAGTAGGGCTCAACGATTTTGGAAAATAATGTAGCGTCTGGACCAATCAAACACACAATATATATTTTGTTTTTATATTTAACAAATACTCTGTAACCCCCCTCAGTTAACAAGCCATATGAGGACCCATGAACCCTTCCCCCCGAAATGCGTAACACCCCAGGAAGCCGAACAGGCACCTGGTTGCATGGCAACCAACGCTGATATCACTGGGTTTATTGGCCAAAAGAATGCAAAGCAGGGAAAATCCCTGCATGAACACACCGTGTCTACACCGGACGCGAGTGGCAAAATACAGTAGAACCATTATAATCAGTGACGCTGTGTACACTGGATGCGCCACGGCGCGACCACAGACTGTAAAGGGGGGCGCGACGCGACAAAACCCAACATTAAACTGATGCCTTGTTCTATTTATGACGTACTGACACAAAGTTAAAATGATTTGCAACGGTCGCTTTGTCGCGTCCAGTGTAGAGCTGTTGCGGCGCGACGCACAACTGTAGCGTCCGGTATAGACACGGTGAGTGAAGCCAAGAGCAAGATATGCCTCATCATATTTTCTGCATTTAGCTTTTAAATGACCAGCACCTGCCTGGGTCTGTGCGACTTCATTTATGGCTTTTCTCTTCGCTTTCACAAACCGATCCATCTCCCATTCTAAGTTACGTCCTTTGGCTGTTTACTTATTTCTTTTCTTTTTCTGCTGATGGCCCGCGCTCGACTTGAAGCAGCGCTGCTTAGACCGATGGGTGTGTCATCAAAGCACTGCGAGAGCTATAAGAGAGCGCGGACATCTCCTTATGCTTTCTCTCACTCGACGTACTTTGATCTCATACACCGATCTGATCTTCAAGTCGAACACACCTGTCACGTGACCGTGTAATCGCAAGGTGCGTTCGACTTCATGCGGCGCGCGCAAACCGTTCGGCGGCTGACTTGAAGCAGTGCATGCCGGTTAGAAATTTTGTCCAACTTGAACCGGCGCCGACGCTATGTCACTGTCACGTGTGGCATCAAAGCACCGCGATATCGTTTCGAGAGCAGCCGGCTGACTCAGCTGGCGCAGCTTTTTCAGAGCGACTGCAGGAGCGCTGATGACGACACAGCTGTTTCACGATTGGCCAAATTCAGCACATGACAAAAATGAGGTGTGTTTCTAACATCTTCAAATCCAATACTGCTCATAAATCTGTGTTTTTAGAACATTAAAAGCTTTTTACTGTAGTCGCAATGTTATATTGAGTCACGTTTATCATGAAAGCATATATACCCCCACTTTATTAGTATTTAAATAGTATATATTTACGTTGAACTTTATTCTTGAACAGATGGCACTGTATTAAGCAGTATATAAAAAGTGTTTCTGTTGCTCATGAAAAAGTTTCTGAAACGTCTGTGTATTTGACAAATATTGCATTTAATTCACTTCATCTGAGATAGAGTATGTAAACACCGCGCGAGCGTCACTAACGGGAGCAGAAAGTGTCCGGCTTGACGGTTCCGTTTTCAACTCCGCCCCCGACTGCAAGCGGCTACTCTCGTTGACTGCCGTCTGTAGCGGTGCTTCAAGTCGAATGCACCTGCAGCCTCTGCGACTGTAAAATTGAACATTTTCATATCGCGATATTATCGCAAATGCAATTAATCGTTCAGCCCTAGTAGGTAGGTAGGTAGGTAGATAGATAGATAGATAGATAGATAGATAGATAGATAGATAGATAGATAGATAGATAGATAGATAGATAGATAGATAGATAGATATGATTACAAACTAAATAAATAAATAAACAAACAAATTACACACATACATTCAATAAATACCTGACACACTGTGTGAGGTCGTTTCTCTCTCTAACATAACACGTCAGCCAAATACTTACCCCTGACATTAATTAATCAAACCATCAATCAATTAACACAATAGGATTAACAAGCCTTGGGAAGGGATTTACACATGAATATATAATATTCTCTCTCCCTTATGCTGTCTTTCTATTTCATGCTGGGTGTGGGTGTGTTCAAGTCTGGCATGTGTGGGAGAGCAGTATACTGTAGGGTCTGGACCAATCAGACACACCATTTTTCATTTGATATAACAAATAAATTATTCATTAGATTAACAAACATTCACAGACCCCTCACCCAATAAACATACTGGGTGCCAGGATGTCTGCAACGACACCAGGCCCCCCTTGGTCCCCATGGCAACCACGACACCTTTGCTAGACCAGATACATTTACGACCTAATGGCATGTTGAAAATTACCCCTCTCACTAAAATTTCCATAGGAAAGACACAGTGCACAGTAAAAATGGACTCTTCTAATTAATCCATAGGAAAACCTTTCTTTGAATGAACACATATCCTTCAGGTCATTGTGTATGTTGTCTTTGAGATTTTATACTGTTTTATGCAGGCTTATGATGGAACCACTCGTTCCTGTCATCTTACCTATATGTAATCCTACCATGTTTAGTATCTATGAATTTGCCTTCTGATGATCTAAACGAGCGTGTATATTATATGTTGGTACATAGGCAATATATTAGTGTCCTGAGAATCTTTAGTAATTTCGATTCAAGTTCCATATGCAAATTATCAAGCTTCCACACAAAGGGTCATAAACTCCCCAGTATTTCCAAACTCCCACTTGGGATTCCAGCCTTTCTCATTGGACAAGCCCATCTCGAGAGGCGTGAATCTTCTCAGACCTTAAAGGCCTCACATTAGTGACCCGCCCCTAGTCGGTGGTTTGCTTGAATTCTGAGAAGATGAAAATGTGAGCTACAACGCTCCAGGACCCCCTACGTTTTGTGCCCGGCCTTCGGCCTTGACTTTTCCATTCACCAAGATTCTCTTATTTTATTTTTTTCAGTTGAGTGGCACGTTGAGCCCTGCCAAGTGCCTGTGAGGTTTTATGCGTGGCATCTGTCCCCGTGGGGGGGTGCCACCTCTCTCTCCTAGTAACAGTTCACGTTTGTGCTGCAGGCAAGTTTCACAGGAGGACATGCCCTCAGCTGTCTGTTATCAGAACATGAATTTGGCATCAATTATGAAAAAATATATATTTTTGAAAAATGAATCGCTGGATAGCCCACACAACGTGCCCATCACAATATCCAACACAGCAGCTTCTTATTGGGAACCAAGCTGTAGTGAGAGCAGTATGATTTTGGAAAGAAAAAGCAGTCAAAATAATTCTAGGAGACTGTTAAAATGTTTCTTTTTGAAGAATGATTCTATATTTATTAGGACTGTCAATGTTAATGTGTTAATGCATGTGATTAATTAAATGTTTAAAACTCTTAATTCTTTTTAATGCCATTAACACATCTATTCAATTTGAGGTTATAACTGTTTATGCTGATTGGTTGAGATCACAGCATTGTATTTCAACCACCATATATTCACATTATTTTGAAAATATTACTGTTATTGTGTCATGAAATGTATTTTTAAAAGTATTTCAGGCGAGAATGTAGTTGTTTAAAACTCAAATCTGCGGTTTATTTATAAAGACAGCGCCTATTTAAAAATGTGTTTCGCCAATTTCGGAGACGTGAGCTCAACGGAAAAAAGTTCCTGGGACAAATTGTTCCAGGTAATTTCGGTGGAAAAGCGGCTGAAGTGTGATCATGCTAACTGGTTATTTTTCCTGTGCTGTGTACAGTAGAATGCATCTCTGAAATTTCCTGTTGCATCATTAAAAATGGTGAGAAAGGGAAAAAGAGGGAAGAAGAAGCAGTGATGATGCTGATATTTAGAATAATAGCTCCATTAGGAGATGCTCCGTCACATGCCTCATAACACCCTCTGGCCACATGTGCTAAAGTTTCATGCTGATTATTCTCCAGACCACGGTGCGATGATATTAACGCACACTTCATAAGATAAAAAAGCCTTTAGGAAAGTGCTGCTGGAGTAGGACTGACACACACACTCACGAGTGGGTGTGCCTGTGTGTGTGTTCCAGAATGGACCACCTTGCCAAGCATCTGCTATGGAAGGAAGCCAGAGTAAAATCTGGGCCATGGTGCATCTCTCTCTCTCTCCCTCCTTCAAGTGTCAGCTGTACGGAGCAGACACTGAGCGTGTTTTCTGTGATCAAAACAATGGGAACACATGTTCTGTCTCTCTCTCTGTGAAAGGGAAGATTTTCTCGATCAAACGTCCTTCCAAGTACAGTGACAGACGGAGCAAAAGGTGAAGGCTAAAGGAAGGAGGAAAATTGTTCCGATAAGGAGGGAGAAAACAAAAAAAGTCGGACGGAATAGATAAAATTACAACTTTAGATTGTTAAAACAATTCGCCAGTGACGTGTCTTTAAAGGGATAGTGCACCCAAAAATGAAGTGCACTATGGTCGTGTCTTCACTCTTATGTCTTCTTGAACCTGTATGACATTCACTCATCTGTATAACACAAAATGAAATATTTAGAGCAGACCAAGCTGCTATTTACCATACTATGAAAGTGAA